CTCTGGGGCTGCACAAACCGCTCACAGCCACAAACTCCTGGCAGCAGAACCCGCATCTGTCCCTTGGGGTTTTCAGAGCACCAACTGCACCGTCACCGTTCAAACCCTTTTCCTCGGGATAAGCATCCCCTCTTCTGGTCATCACCCTGGCGCCTGCAGCTCTGCTCTCCCCATGGATAAAAAAAGCCCCGTTTCCCCTCTCTCTGCTGAAGGATGCTGGAAGTTCTCAGCAAAACGAGGAGCCGAGGATGGCAGATTCCTCTAGAGGGAAACCTCCGCTTGCAGCAGCCTGACGGAAGATCTTTGCTGCATTGAAACGCTGACTCACCCTCCTCCTCCTCCTCCCATACCCCAGCACGCAGCTCCGCCAGCCAAAATAAATAGCGGGTACCTTTCTGCCCTCATTTATTTGTTTGGCAGCACTTCACAGATGCATTTTAGCCTCTCAGCAGAAAAAAAAAAAAGATAAAATAAAATATTGCTGGCAACCCCCTGTTGGAAAGTCTATTTCAAACAGCTTGTTCAATGCAGGGAGGTTTTTTTTTCCCGTACGGATCACAGCCTGAATTTCAGGCTGAAGGCAGCCACCCCAGTTCCGCAGTCACAGAGCACCCGTCCCAACCACAGCAGCCCATCTGCAAGAGGGTGGGTAAGTCTGCACCGGGAAGATAAAGAAAACAGCACATGCGCCGAAAAAAGCAGCGTTTTGGGGAAGGCAGGGCTCAAACCCAGCCATAACACACCGAGGTGAAGAGCTGTGCTGAAGCGCAAGCGGAAAATCCTTCCTAGGAGGGCTGGCTCCAGGGGAGCGCTGTGACCCCGCCGCTCACAAGCTGCTTTTTGCACCATGTCCCTGTAGAGCGAGCTGGGGAGGGTGGAAAACCAGCAGGACCAGGGCGCTGGAGGCTGCGGCAGAGGCTTCAAAGCCCGGCAGGAATCAGGAATTTCTCCCCATCGGCGTGAGCGAGGCTGGCACGGCAGGATTTGTGCAGAAAGGGGTTGGGAAGAGACGGGGACGGCAGCCCGGGACATTTTTGTACAGGGTGGAAACCCAAGTGGAAAGGAGTCGGAGAATATATGCACATGCTGCTTTTAAACAGCAGTTTCGGAAGTGAGAGCAAGAGGTTTCGCTATCTGTGCCTTAACCACTTTGTTTTCCCCTTGGTCCTCACCTGTCCGTCATTCCAATTACAACAGACAAGTCCTGCTTTATAGAGATTTGCCCCAATACCCCAGGAATAAAAAAAAAACAAAAATAGCAGAGGTAGGATCTGGGCAGCAGGAGCCCAGGCAGATACAAAGTGCTAACCCCAATACCCCCGCTTTTAGGGGCGGGAGCGGGGCTGTGCTTTACCTGGAGAGCTACAAAGCAGGTTTGTCCCATCAGGGCTGAGCTGGTGCCAGCTGAGTGTCCGATTCACCACCCTGCTTCGTGTCCATCCCTGGGACATGCAGGCTCGGCAGGCAAAAGGAAAGCAGAGGCATTTCAGGAGCCACTTTTCACCCTTGCAGGCTCCCCACACCCCTCATAGCGGAGGGAAAATGTCCAGCTCCACCCCTGATCATTTTTACCCCCTGACTGATCCAGCACCGACGATCCCCACGACGGACTCATCCGCAGCATCAGCGTTATCCACGACGTCCCGGTTCTCACAGCACGGCGTTCCTCTTCATCAAACCTTGCAGCCCCCCAGGTTCTGCTCCAAAAGTCCCCATGAACGGTGCTTGGGAGGGGGCTGTGACACCCATGGGTGTTCAATCCCACCGACAGGCTCTCCTGGTCCACCGGCACCGCTCCCCGCTGCCAGCCTGGCTGAGGACCTCGCTCCAATTGTTCAAAACCTTATTCCCACTTCCAGCATTTAGGAAATGTACTTTTTAGGAGTACACGATGAAGAGCCAGGAATTCAAGTCAATATTTGGCCTCACTGCTGGGTATAAGGGGATGGAAATGACAACCAAGGCGGGGAATGATTTTACATTTTCCTCTCCTGAAAACAGCGATGGAGGGAAAAGGCTTTAACCTGCAACGGGCACTCATGCCATTATTTTTACAAGAGAGAGCGCAATTTCTCTTTTTTCCTATTGCCAAGCGTGGGATGCAGCCCCACTTTATCATCCCGCCTCAGGCTGCAGGAAGCCGGACCTGTGGAGCTCTGATAACATTGTAGGAAACCCTGAAAACAGTTAAACCAATTGTTTTAGCCCCAAGCCTTGCCTCTAACAAACCTGCTGAGCTTCTTCCTGACACACAACCCTTGACCACACAACCTTCAAAACAACAAACCCCAAACAGTCCTTTATTCAGGGCTCCCGAGGGACAAACACTATCTTCCTACTGCTCCCATTCAAACCAGTATCAAAGCCCAGTAGCCGTGGTGGATTAGCAAAGCTGGGGCACAGCCCTTGGGACGCGCTTCCCCACAAAGAGACGATGCTCAGAGCTGTGTATGATGCTCAGAGCTGTGTATGATGCTCAGAGCTGTGTACGGAAGGGCTGAGAGCAGAGATGTCCAGCCCCCTCCCGGGGGAAGAGAGCCGGCAGGTTTGCAGCTCACCAGCTTGCGTGCGGTTGCCCGTGGGTTGGCTAAAACCCCCCGTAACGGAGCAGAAAACCCTTTCCTACAGCTGAAAGTCAGCGGCTTCCCGATTTTCGAAAGGGTGTGGTTTCGCAAGAGCAGGTGGTGCAAGACAAGCTGTGCCAAACTTGTCTTAGCTGCAGGCTAATCTAAACCTGGAAAGCATCTTGCTAATTACAGACCTTTTAACTAATTACAGCTTGAGTTTTTTGGTCTTGCAAAGGTGGCTGCTTTTGACGTTCTCTCCCCAGCTCGAGGTGAGACGTGGCCTCTCCACGGTGGGGAAAAGGTGAGAAGATGCTGCTCGCTCAGCTGATGGGAGCCACAAAGCTGAAGTTTCCAGAATCAGGATAGCAGGAGGGAAAAAATCCTTTCTGCAGATAAACCAATGCCTTACAACTGCTCAGTTCAGAGGCTGGTTCTCCCTCCAAAGCAAAGGTTAATCTCTAGAAGTTACACTGGTGACTGAATAGCTCTTCCAGATGCAGATGGACACCCGTGAAACACCCACAGCTGAGCACCACTAACTGCTCAATCGCACGCTCGAGAGACGCGACACATCTGATTATCGCGATACAGATGGCACCGGCCCGTCCGCTCCACCCGACACCAGCAAGACCTCATCAGCTCCTCGACAGCTTTGAGCCGGATCAGTGGTCCACAAGGTTGTTCAGTGTAAGGAGAATTAAATCAGAAAAGTGAGAGTCCTGTATAATTAGAATAAGTAATGACGTTGTCATTAATGGTCAGAAGAAGCCAGCCTAGAGCCAGTCCATCTCCCTGCGGTGATGGAAAGGCCATTTTGGCAGCAAATGGGACTCGGTCACCACCTCCCACAGCCCCGCCGGGGCCACGTGCCAGGACAAACGCTTCTCGTAACACTCCCCGAAGGTGCTCATCTACCCTGGCCCCGCAGCCCCAGATGCTGGGCTTCCTCCCCCCCAGCCACGCAGCTCTAGCACTTCCCCATCCTCCATCAGAAACTTCTCCTAATTTCTACCTTAAATCTCCCTTCCTAGGGATTAAGCTCATTATTTCCCATTTTCAAATTGCAAACTGCAATTAAAGCCCATTCAGATGCTTAGGAACACCCCGAAGGGGGCCCCTGGGAATTTGTTCCCTCCAGCTCACGCTGCTTCAAAGCGATTCCTATTTCGGGGAGAGAAAACCCCAACCGAAGGAACTGCTGTCGTAAAGCTCGGCCCAATTTCTCCTTATGAGACAGCCGGGGTCCTCAGCATGCCACAGCAAAAGCGTACCTTCAGCTTAGCTTGAAATTCAACTGTGAGAACTGGAGTAGACTTAAAAAAACCCAAACCACAGACTGACCCTTTGGGAAGGGAATAACGCTGGGAAAGGGTCCAGCAGCTGTCATTTAAAAAAAAGCAGAGGGTTGGTAGAAACCAGCGTGTTTAAGGGCACCTCTGCACTCACGGCGATTATCTGCCGGGTCGGATGCTGATCAGGAGCCGGTTACAGCTCGGACATCCTCGCCTCGGGTCTGCCGCCTTCCTAGAAATGCAAAGCAGGAGGAAAGCCCGCGGTTTCTCACCGGTTTATGGAGGAAAAGGCTCCAGAGGGAGATGCAGAGGGGATCTCCCATCCCATCACCCTGTACATCGCAGGCTCAGGCAGCTCGTGGGGTCACTGCCTGAATACAGTCGGATTTTTAATGGGTTTATTGTTCATGTGGCATCTTTTCTATTCTAGGACTTAAATCAAACAGCAGGTTTATTATTGCAAAATGAAAAAAAAAATAAATAAAAGGACCTTGCCTTTGGCTCTCCCGCTGCCGGAGCCGCTCCAGGACAGACATCCCACATCCTTCCCCATCACCTACCCGCTGCGAGCCAGCCTCCGCTCCCCAACAAAAGGCGTCGGGGAAGGAGCCCCGGGCCCCATG